GGCATCTTTGCACCCCAGAAGAAAGAAGGGTTTCAGCTTTCCTGAGCACCTCTCACTGGCAGGCTGGACACTGGTTGCATTGCATATTTTTTTAGCTGCAGCTCTGCCTGGCTGTGTCCTATCAACAGAATGAGTACATGGCCTGCAAGGCCATGTCTGCACTTGAATTAGGCCTCAGAGGATTTGACCATAGTAAATCTTTAGTTAAAAATCCAATGCCCGTTTCTTCTTTAAATTTGAATAGCATAAATCCAAAGCAGCTACATTGCCCTGAGTGAAATATTGTTTTTACTCAAGTTTGTTTTGTCTTTCTTCATTTTTTTTTCCAAAGGTCCTAAAATTTTAAATCTGAACTTTGTAAATATTGCTTTGGTCTCTAAGTCAGTGAACTTTCTGACAACATTCCTTGTAAAGGCTAAAGACTTTTCTGGCAAGTAATTAACAATTGGGACAAGCCCTTCCATGAGACATGAGATTTGCAGCCTGTTGTGTGGTCTCTTTGGCTGGGTCTGTAACACATTTCCGATTGTCTAAATATAAAGAGATAAAAAGGAAATGGACTGCCAAACTCCACTGTATAACATAAAGCAAGTCAGAGGGAAAAGGTTTATAATTTTCCTCTTCCTTTTACATTGCTGGCTACATCTTATCTTTAGCCAGAAGATGGTAACATCATTTCCTCTCTATAAATTGGCTTGCACGTGATACAAAAACACAATATGATTTTCTTTTCTAACTTAATACAAGTTTTGATACTTGAATGTTTTGACATTCAAGAATTCCGATTTAATCTCAGAACAGTTAAAACATCACTTTACCGAGCCAGTGGGTGTGTATATTGCTTCAATGAGCCTTCTTTTTTTAATAAGAGGCAATATTGAGGGTGGAAATTTAGAATCAATTGGAACAATCAGTGTGTGCAAAGTGATGATACCAGGACCTTTTTTGAGCTAGCACAGCATATATCTACCTCTTTTATTGCTCTTCTGACATCTAGTCCTGTCTGAAGTAATAGTGTGATTGCCCTGTGGATTTTAACAGAACTGTGATTCTGTTGAAGCTGATTCAGAAAGCAGTTGTGCCCATCTTCAATACTAAACGAGAGCCTCATAAGTCCCTGAAACAGTCTAAAAGGTTTTCACGAAGTTTTTTAACAGTGATTCAAATAGATAGTGATTCACCTACTCATGAATGAAATATGGAATTTTTTTCTATTGCTACCATTGCTGTGCCATCTGGGTACATCATGTGAAATAAAACAATACCAGTGACTGGGAAAAACTCTCATGGCTTCACAAAGGGAAACAAGAAAGTCAGTGAATTGCTGCTGTTTTTTCCTGTTATGTAATCTCTCAGTTTTGAGATTTACACTTATTTTATTTGCAATGTGACTGTCTGCTATTTAAATAATTGAAAAGGCATGCCCTGCAAACACATTTTATAATTTACTCACGGAGATATGAGGATGTCCCACTTTGACAGTCATCACAAATGGAAACTTTCTGAATAGCTCTGGTATTTTGAAAGTTGTGAAACAGTCATTCTTGTTCTTGGTTGAAACCCTTCTTGTTGCAATACCCAACACTTAATGTGTCATCATCAGCATGCATGAGCTGCTACAGGCAGGTCAGACACATGGGTGGTCATGAAGGGATCATTTCACAGGTAGGACCCATTGCTTCACATGGGTCTTGGCAGCAAGTATCCCTGGAACAGACCTTTCAGAGACTTCTTTGTGCCATGGTGGATAATTGGAGTTGATTTTAGTGTATGTCAAGCTGTGAACTGTCCTTGTGTCTGGGGTTGACAGGCTATCAGATATCTTGGAGGGGCTTTGGCTGACTGAAGACAGTTTCCAAGAGACAGTACAGCTACTCAATGATTGCCTGCTTCTGTCAAGAAGCACTATTAAAGAGTATTAAAAGTCCCGCTGTAGGATGTGTGCAAAGGTTGTGTGGGTCACATTTGGCTAGTAAGTCCCGTGCAGGCATTGTGCAGTTTAGTCTAGGATTGCAGTATTTAGGTTTTGTACTTGTCCGAGGTGTCCAAAGCAGTATGCAGGCCTAAAAGTGCCCACCGGGGTCTCAAATGTGATTTTCTACTGACCAGGAAACAGTATGTTTTAAATAAGTTTTTTCTCAAAGCTAGTGGCCATGCTGACTACCAGCAGAAAGCTGCCATGGTATGTACCTTCACCTACAGATAACTCCACTTCCTGGGGCTGATTGACTATTTAGTGGGGAGTTGGTTAAGCTTTGAAAATTTGCAGGCTGAGGAACTGAACTTAAAGTGTCCTTCCTCTTGCTAAGTGGCAAGCAAAATAAAGCTTTCCTAATCACTCTCTTTTTCTGTGACTGCTTTTGGGTGGTGTTTATTCCTTATGCTATCATCTGTTAGCTTGTTAAACACAGGAGGTTGACACCTGCAGGTAGCACCTGAATAATCAGCTGGTTTGAGCCATATGGTGCAATTGCAGTGGACTGCCCTGAGGCTTCACAGGACTTGCAGCGTGGCATATAGAAGGTGCACAGCAACAAGTTCCTCATTACAGCAGCTGCCATGGCCAACAGGTGAAAGAGCAAAGGTATTGCAGAAAGTTCTTTCTGAAAGAAAAAGAGATTTGCAAAAACAGACAGAAGCCCAGTGTGTCCCCCGCTGATTGCTGTCAAATGGAAACGTATGGGAACTTTGCCATGAAGTACTTATGTGTAAATGCATCCCATTGTCACCGTGTGGCCAAACTTTCAGATTTTAAGAACCATCATAATTAATATCCAAGATTTCTAGGGAAAGGATCCTGCTCAGATTAGTAAGCAGTACACAAGTACTCATCTGGGAAGTATATTAATTCTAGAATTGTTTACAGTAATCTGGTAACTCCTATTTTATGAAGTAACTTTAGAAAGCAAATGGAGACCTGTTGGAAATGTTTTCAATATGTCTATTAAACATATTGCTAAGGGAAATGTCATTGCAGAGCAGAAACAGTGTGATATTGGCATGACAGGCAAATACGCAGATGTCCGGTGCAGTCGTGGGGAAGTGATTTGCTGGTGTGTCATCCTATTTCAATTTCCTTTAATTTGACTACCCCATGTATCTGTGAAGTATCACTGCAGCAGTACAACTAAAAATTAGACTAACCAACTATCTAAAGGGACCTGGTCATGTTTGTCACTGGGATTTCCCAGCTGTCATCTCTAAAAGTAACTGATTTGATGATACATCAAGACTGAAAGAGTCTAGGTTCAACAACAGAAGATTTTGTGTTTCTAGTAGTTTCATTGCAGTGCATTAAGATCAATTCAGCGTGAGTGGGTAAAACCTGAGAAACCAGGGAAATACCTGGGTTACTGTTCATACTAACTCTGTTTATAGCAGCAAGCTACATTTTGGCTCATTACCATGAAGTGAACGCTAGTACATCAGTAACTTGAGTCTATGCCTGTTGCACTTGCAGTCCTTTTTAGAATACACGTGAAGTCAGTGTCTTTGCATCTATAAAATGATTAACAGTGATTCCTTGCCTCTTGGGAGAGTTGTGTTGAGAGGACTTGAAAAAATGAGGGAATGGCAATGAGCTAATACTGACAGAAACTATATATTTGTATCCCTGAAAAAGTTTAGAGCAGGGCTAATGATTTTCTTTTTTTTTCCTTTCCCCCAGGTGAGACATTTTAATGACTAGGTGGCTATGTTTCAGAGTGCCAACCAATTTAATGTAATGAAACAAAGACCAGGATTTTCTGGAGCGTGGTTTTGTCTCCACATGAACGCATCCTAAAGTAGATTTAAAATGTGTCATGGCAAAGGAGGAAGTAATGAGCACATTACTGTAGCTGTCCTGAAAAATCTTACACGTTGTTGAATAATTTTGTTGCAGAACAAGGTAGTAGTAAAATACGGTAAACTTACAAACACCTGATTTTCTGGAGCTTGATTCAGTCACTGTAGATTGGAAATTGTGTTTCTGGGACCAGGGAGTGTATCACCTTTTATTTGGCTTTAAATCCATGATTAAGATTGAGGATATAACAGTTTTGACCTAGAATCAGTTCTCCTAGTGAAATCCCACTCAGCTGTGCATGTAGAGCCCTGCTTATTAAAACATCCCACTCTTTCACATCTCCTTTTGTTAAAAGCTCCAAATACTCCCTTAAGTAAAGTGTTGTTTTTTTCACATACCTGATCATGTAAAGTCCCTAAAATTTCTTACTCAGCACTTTGAAAATTTTCTGATAGTCAAATGATCCAGTCTGGAAATCGGAGATCTGTGATGAAACTTGATAGAGGTTGGCTATTTATTTCCACTAGGTCTATTTTACCAGTGTTGAGTCTTTGCTGAATTCATACTCCTGGGGATGTACAAAAAACTGAGCTTGAAAACTTGTAGGCAGAACGCTCTGTTTCAGTAAATTACAAATTTCATGACAAGGTGAGATAATCAGAGATTAAGCACACTTTCTCCCAAGTTGTGTTAAATAGTGAAGATTGATCTACTTAATAATTAAACATTAAATAGTAACATTATAAGAAAAGAAGAAAACATGAGGAGAAAATCATCCCATCATACAGCAGTTTGACAGCATTAAAAGCTCACAGTCAAAGGGGGAGATAGATGTTGTGTTGAGCAATAGAGAAATACGTTCATTCTTAGCTCAGGAGGTTCTGTGTACATCAAGCTTTGGACAGCAATGTTGAGGGTATGCATAGGTGTGATGTTCAGCCTTTTACTACATGTGGCAGCATTAAGGTTTTGTTTGGATGCATTGATTATTGAGACTTCCCTGGGAGAGCACTGTCCAGTGAATGGAATTTTGGGAGAGCACTGTCCAGTGAACAGAATTTTCAGCCAATTTGGTCCTGGCACAGCTTAATCTCTTCTGTTCCTGTGTTATTACCAGATCTGAATTGCTGTGCTTGCGTCTTGCCCGGTGTCACTTAGCACGTCTGGAAATGCTGTGGTTTGCTGAATGACAAGTTGCACTCCTTTTTTCCAGTTCCGCCTGGTGGTAAAGACAGCACTGAAGCTGCTGCTGGTGTTTGTGGAGTATACTGAATCCAATGCACCGCTATTAATCCAGGCAGTATCTACTGTTGATGAGAAGAGAGGTGAGTAGCCTTACTTGAGGGGTGCAAAATCCCAGCACTGCTGAGATCAGGATGGCATTTCAGTGGTTCCGAATTTTCTGTCATGATGCCTGCTTTGTCCTTCATTTCTCCATTAAAAGCATAATTTAAGTATTCATGCAATTTAAGATTGTTTTGAGGAATGAATTATAGTGGGAAAATGAAGAATGAAAAGCTGAGGAGCTTGACTGCCTCCTTAGGCACTTCAGTCATTGCCCCTTCCCTGCACCCACGTGCAAAGTAAGTCCCGTTACATCTTCTGACGCTGGAGGCTCCTTCGGGCCAGGATGTCTTTCCACTTCCTTCTGAGAAGCAGCAGTCTGATTTAGAAGAGAAAATGATATCTAATCAGTGTAATCCCTTTGAAGAGAAAGACGAGGTCAGTAATAGTACAGGCTTTATACTAAAAGCAAAACCATCTGTTGTTACATTAAAATAAAGCCCCTGAGCAGATATTATACTATGAAATCTGTTACCCTTCAGGCTCACGAAAAATACTTGAATATGTATACTGTATTTTTTACAAATAAATAGAACAAAAATGGTTCTTTCTTGTTCTTCCCACAAAGCCATTGCTAAGCTCCCAGGGCATTCTCTCTTGATGCAAAACATTCCTTTGCCTCAAGGAGCGTTTTTGAGGTTGGGAGAGCCATTGTTGTGGTCTCAAACACATGGAGGTTGAAAGCAAGATCCCCTCTGTGGAGCAACTGCCTCCATGCTGAACTTGTTTGAGTGACTTGATATGGTAAAAGTGAACAAAAAATAGGGGGATGGTGAGAAAGGTGGTGCCAAAAGTAGGAGAAAGTCGCCAGATTTTGCTTTCAGCTATCAGAATGAGTGCATTGAAAAGACAAAAAATAATTGTCTCTTATGGCAGGAGTACAGGCAGGGGCAATTCAGAAACAGTGTAACACTTTAGACAGTAGACTCTGCAGGTTGGCTTTCTGTTTTGAATTAAAACCAATAAACCTTACAATGCCATAAGCAGAAATGTAATTACAGTATTCATGTAATTGTGAGCGCTGTGATTTATTTTTACAGCCATTCTTAGTATTTCCTCAGCTCTCTGAACTCACTGGTATTCAAATTGCCATCTGTTCACATGCTAGTAAACCTCATTAAAGAAAAAATAGAAAGAAAGCAGGACCCTAAACACACTACCATGCGCTGTGTATTCCCTTCTGTATCTGTAGAACAGCCTTAGGCAAACATTTACCTGCCCCGAAGTAATGAAAAACCTTAAGTAACAACATAAAACTGGTGAGAAAAACATGCATGTAGTTAGATGGATACATGTTAGGAGCATGAGGAGAGGGTTTATGGAAATTCTCATACCTGTGGGTTGGTGGACTGTCTCATGAACTCTTGCAAATAACTCAAATAACTTAGCCCCAAATATCCACTTTTCCCTTTTTTTTTCTTTTTTTTTTCCCCCCTTCTTTTTATTACTAAGCAAATCCACTTAGCTACAAAAGAGATGTTTTTTCTTGTTTTATATTTAGTTCCTTTTTTCAGTCATCAGTGTAATAGCTCTTCACTTTTAGCTGTGAATGTGCTATGTTTTAATGTATATTTTGAAATTAATGGCTTATAACTGAGGAGCACCTGCCTTTTATGACTGATTTAATGGAACAGAAATGCAGAGGAAGAAAAAGCGATATGCCTTCTCTTGAAATGTTCTCACAAATCTTGCAGGTATATAATTAAGTTTAGCACTGCTTTGAAAAAAGTCCAATGTTTCATGTACATACAAGGTGATGAGATATGACATAATTCCTCAACATGTGTACCACACATGATTAACATAAAGAACCCCATATTAACTCAGCCTGGATTCAAAGTGATCCCATCTGTGGTTTCTATGTGAGAATACATCCATATGCAAACTGAAGTACAGAGATCCACGGAAATGCCAGCTTTACTCTCATATACAAGCAGATCATAAGTGAATAAGTGCATGGCCCTCCATCATATAGGAAGTAGCTTCTACTTATACTTCCATCTAGCTTCCCCTTCCCCCCACCCTTTCTTGTTTCAAACCCCCAAAGGAATTTGATCACTTTTCAGTTTAAGCCTATCAGGACTGTGCAGGCTCTGGAAAGAGGAGCTGGCATTGCACTCTGCTGTCTGGGGCTGCTTTATGGCAAGAATTTTTTAGCACAGAGATTAAAGCCCTGTGACTGACCTGGACACTGTCACATACTGTTAGTGAACTAAGTTTCTGCTACTTAACTTGTTAATAGTAAATGGCCCACATGATCAGTTTTCTGCTTTTCCTGCCACTTCATGCATAGTTAGATGTCCACTAAATTTATGCCCATGCTATAGGTATCATGGAAGATATCTTCACTCATATTTAAATAGCCAGGAGTACAATATGTTGAGGTCTTTCCAAGGTCTTAATACCTTTCCATCCTATGGCTACTAGAGACGGGCAGTCTATAAGCTGGTGGCAGTCCTCATATATGGTTCTGGTTTTGCGTGCTTTATACATACTGTGCACATCCTGTGTAGATGTCAAGATTTTTTGTAAAACATGAATGACATCATTGAATTAGATACGTAATTACATCTAAAGGGGAAACTGAGATAAGACTGACACTTGAAATAACAGGCACGTTATTCATTAAATAGACTGTATTAATTTAATATAGGCTTAATAGTTTCAACCCCATAGCTCTCCACGTGTTTATGCACCATATGTGACTACTTGAAGTGCTGTCAAGACTCCAGACTTCCTGTCAGAGTAACCATGATACTGAGCTGTTACCAGTGAGAGTAAGCAAACTGTGAAAAGCAGTCGAGCAGTTCTTGTTTTACCCATTAGAAGGCAGGAGAACACACACAAAACTCGACCTCTGCTGCTTTACTTCAGTGAGCCTGTTTCATCATTCCCATCAATGTTGCTGCAAGTTCTACATGGAAGTCAAAACCTTATGGGAACATCCCAGTCTCCTCCCATAGGAAGTGCTGGGATGCTACATTATTTTTCTTTTACATCATTGTTTTTCTACATCATGATCAGGTAGAGGAGACAGGCAGGAAAGTAAACCTTTTTGAGAACTGGCAAGTGTAAATGGTTACATTTACTATTTTTAAAAATAAACTTCATAATATAAAAATATTAAATAGGTTTTTGTTTTTTACTAGAAGTACATATGCATTGCAAGCCTAGATTTGAGATTAGGTTTTTCATCATTTGTTATATTCTGACCATCACACAGAAAATGGAAGCTGTAGATTTTAGCTCTGCATAATATTAGGCTGTTCGGAAATTAACTGTCGATTTCAACCTGTATGTTTGAGGTGGCATATCTCAGCTCAGAATAAAATTTATTAATTGAAATAAAAAACATTAGAATCAACACATTTTTACCAACGAGAAACAAGCATGTTTATTCCAGTTGCATAAAATTCTGGACTTCTGGAGGTGATGAAGTCATCGAAGGCAGTTTCGGCCTCCCCTTGGATTCTGAAGCTTCTCCCGCACAGGAAGCTGTCGGGATGCTTGAAGAAGTGACAGTCAGTGGGCAAGAGGTCTGGTCAGTGTGGTGGATGAGGCAGAGTTTCATAGCCCAGCTTGTTCAACCATTGCAGCGTCGAAAGTGCAACGTGTGGCCGCGCGTTATCGTGGAGAAGGATTGGACCCTTTCTGTTGACCAGTGCTGGGCACAGCCGTTGAAGTTTCTGGTGCATTTCATTGATTTGCTGGATGTATTTCTCTGCTGTGATCGTTTCACCCAGACTCAGGAAGCTGTGATGGATTAAACCAGCAGCAGACAACTAGACAGTCAGCATGACCTTCTTTTGGTGCAGATTTGGCTTTGGGAAGTGCTGCGGAGCATCATCGTGGTCCAACCACTGAGCCGGTAGTTGCTGGTTATCGTAGAATATCCATTTCACCTTGCATGTCAAAATACAGTCGAGAAACAGGTTGTTCTGGTTGTGAAAAAGAAGCGCTGACGACACTTCAAAATGGCAATTTCTGTGATTCTCATTCAATTCATGCTGCACCCATTTGTCGAGCTTCTTCGACTTTCCAATCTTCTTCAGATGCTCAGAAATAGTTGATATGCTTACCCCGAGTTATTTTGCAAGTTCTTGAACAATTGTGCATGTATCTGCTTCCACCAGAGCCTTCAATTCATCGTCGTCAATAGCAGAAGGACGTCCGTGACCTTCTTGATCTTCAAGGTCGAAATCACCACGTCGAAATTTTTGGAACCAAAGTCACACTGTCCGTTCATTAACACTTCCCTGGCCATATACCTCATTGATGTTTCGAGCAGCTTGCGCTGCATTACGTCCAAGTTTGAACTCGTAGAAGTAGATCTGTCGAAATTGCTGTTTTGACATCTGAACTTCAAACCTCCAAAATTTGTCAAGAAAGCAGTTTATATTATAATTTAATTATACAGTGTGAAAGTTCATAACATGAGCTTTTCAAAAATATATAACAGTGCACCAGTCGAAAGGTACTTTTCCTGAAACATGCGACGAAAATCACATTACAAAATGGAAATTAATTTCCGAACAGCCTATAGTTTCCTCAGAGTTTTCTCCCCATCTATAAAAGGAGAGCTTTTAGTATTCTCCACAATACAAATAATCTTTAAAAGGAAAGGGGAAAATATACATCATGTTTTTCATATCTCTTGTATGAGCGTCATTGTTTTACTACAGCAGCCAATGAGTTCAGAAAAGTCAACAATTTTTTTAGTGTATGATTTTCCAAGGTATCTTTCACAAAGTTTTTCTATGCAGTTTGAAAGGAGGAGTGTTTTTGCTCTCATCCTATCATTGCAAAATATTGCCTTGAAAATTAGTTTTTTCATGTAGGCTCATCTCATCTCATCTTTATGTGGTGACTCTCCAGGAACAACAGATTTTGGAATCCAAGCTCAGAGCATGAGAGTCAATGAGAACACCTGCTTTAGATCTGCCCATATCCCATGCTGTCTGGATCACAGGCTGGAAACTTTAGGCTCTCATTATATATTAGCAAGGAATATTAACCCAAGTATAGTAATGCAGTAAGTTCATGGTGCAACTTCCACACCAGAACTGCCTTGTCCCCAGGCTGGTAGAGACAGCCTTATGGCTACTTCCATGTTCAGTCCTTGGCTGTTCAGCCTGAGATCATAATGAAGAAAACATTTGAAAAGAAAGGTTTAATCTAGTACAAATTGGAGCAGCTCTATCAAAGTCGTTGGCAGTATTGCCTCCTCTTGATTTTAGGTAGGGAATAGATGAATTTCCAATTTAAGACTAGATTTTAGAAAATGCCCAAGTTTAGTAGCTGCCCCTTAATTGATAGATGGATGAACTGTTACAGGGCTGCCTTATTACTAAGTGTGCCTGATTATTAATTTTAGAAGACTGTATTCTGAAATAGAGAAGGAGCACAGGTAGAAGAAAAATATACATCATCCTTGCAGGAAAACAGCGAGGCGATCCTAAAAAGACTCTTTTTTGATAATGGAGAAGTATCAAGACATTCAGGCAAAATATCAAACATCAGGATGCTGACTTTAAAAAACAAAACAGGATTGTTCCAATAAGAATAAAACTTGCCTGCAAAATAAAGGCATGTTTCCCTAGTACTCTCACTGAATAATGCAATGGATTAAATAATTATTTTTTAATGTTGTTGTCAACTCATTTTTCCAAATGGCACTGTTATAAATCAGCATACTGATTTATAACATACTTGCATAGTTTCCTCATATTGTTTCTCTTTCTTATTTTCTTCCATTTTTATTTTTCACTGGAAACCACAGGAAGACATTTTTGTAGTGAGGATATCATTCCTGCTGATCATATATCATTTGTGAGCTGAGTGAATTTGTTCCACATGTCTTTTGAACATGTACTGCACAAAATGTCTGGTAATATAGAGAATCTGGTAGAGAGGTGTCTAGTGTATTCTCATTACAACTGTGTATTTGAATTAGTATTTAATTAGTAATGCACATAAATACATCTGGAGAGCTGAGAGTGAATTTCCCCCTCCTTTGATTTTGCTTGAGATAAGGAAGCTCTGATTTATTATTCAGTAGTAAAGATCAGAGACTGCCCAAAAAGAGGAAAAGAAAAAACGGGAGAAATATTGTTGTCTGTGCATTCATTAACAGATAGGTTTTTCCACATAGTACGCTGCCATTGCTTTGAAAACAGGGATCCTTGGCTAGTGGAGATTTTATGTCTGTGTAGCAGGATATGGGTTTAGTATCAGCATGAATAAACAAGAACCGTTACCATTGTGAGAGCAATGCAGAGTTTTAACCTCGGGGTCACTGATCAGTCGGCAACAGGTGGTTGTGATGAAACATTTGCATTTTACTGCCTACTTATACTCGAACTATCATCATCCCTACAGTGTTGTTTCCCTGTACTGTTTAGGGTATGTGAGCTGTTGGAATACAGTGCATGTTTTCTTCTGAAATTCAAAGACTCTCACAGTTATGCTTGTGTAGTTGAATGGAGTATCTCTCTAAGTTAGGGTTAGCTTTCTGCTTCATCCTCCTCACTTCTAACTGTACTGCAGACAAAACACTGAATTATAGTTTTTCATTATTTACTTCACCTTCCTAGATAAAGCAGTTACGTGTTTTTTGTCTTTAGTAGATGCAACTACTTTGCCTTTTAGCCAAATGAAATAGGATGGGTTTATAAGGTACCTTCCCCACAAGAGGTTATCTCGTGTCTGGCTGGCATTTCCTGTCTGATGTTTTTGGCAAAATAACAACTCATTAATCCACTTGGGTTTAGGCATCAGATAATGATGCAAATGCAAATCAAGCAAATACATTATAACTGGAAGCATAAATTTTGACCTTATTTAGTGGAAAAATTAGAGAAACTTATCTGAAAGTTTTGTAGAGGGGATTCTTATTAAAATAATTTGAGTAAGAACCACAGCAAAAATTTTCTCCCCTCATTGATCATTTCTTTTCTCCAAGACACACAGTCTGTAATTTGAGAAAACTGTGTTTCTTTGCCACATTGTTTTGTTAACAGGACTGACTTAATGCAGCGTAACTCAGTAATAGCATTAGGAATGTGTGCAACAAGCACACTGAAAACATAGCATATAGGTTTTTGTTGAAGATTTAGTAAGTCTGTGTGAACCTGTGATAGGTGGGGTAAAATTCCTCCCACTTGAATTTTAATAGTTCAGTGACAATCAAACTGGGCTAACAAAGCTTCTTTCATCATCAAGGGAGATAAATTGGTACTTTTGGGGGAAAGTCCACCTAGCATATATTTTTAGGATGAGCTGTGGCTTTCACTATCTGCCTTACCTTCACTCTCTCTGAAGCAAGGGAGATTGAAGAGGAAGCTGGATCTTTTGTCTTGATCTTTCACCATGGCCACATATTCCAACTTGTGCTGCTTCTTGATAAATGTTGATGCAACAGCTTTCCATTTTGATCACTGTCACCAATGGTTTCTGCTTTTCCTCTAGGAGCCAAGCTATGGTCCAACATCATGGAGATCTTGGAGGAGAAGGATGGGGTTGATACCGAACTCCTGGTTTATGCAATGACCTTGGTTAACAAGGTTTGTTTACTTTGTTAGCATAAGTGGTGGAGATAATATTAGTATTTTCAATTGTATAATAGTCTTCCCTATTAAGAATATTTGACAAAGGAGACCTGTCCTGAAGAAGTTGCAGGACCAGCTGTAATCAATCAGCACACTCTTGTTACTTGTGTTGCAGTCACCCGAGGCAGCAGCTGGGAGCAGAATTGCTGTTTTGCTAGATGCTGTGCGGAAATGTGTTATGACATGGCTCCTCTCCCAATGCTGACAACGCAGTGCAAAACAAAACTCAGCAAACTAACTCAACACATTATCCAAGGAGAGAGAAGAAGCAAGTGCTGGTGAAAAGATCACATGCTTACAAAGGCTTGCATTGTGCACAATTTTCTAGTTCAGATCATTTAAATTTTTTTTACTGTAAGCTAAATATGATGAATTTAACAGGTCTGAGTGCTAGTAGGAGTGTTTCTGCTTAAAAAGATGAGGTTACATTTTTTCTTCTCTCCTTATATTTTCTGGTGTCCTGTATTACAATAGTAGTTTTGCGGTAAAATCATATGTTTTCCAAAGTACTCACTTGTGCTATGAGAAGGGAGAAGGTGAAAGGCCTATAAAATTTAGAAATTTATTAGTGTAAATTCCTTAAAACTTAGCATCTAGTCCTAAACAAATCATAGGGTGACTAAAATTAAAAATGGATTTTTTTAATGAGTACAGAAAATTAATACCCTAGTACCAGATTAAAATAACCTTGTGTTTTATGATTATAGTTAATAGGCCTTAGTATTATGGAATATTATTGTTATTTATTATATTCATTTAAAGATCCTGAATTTATCAGCAGAGGTCATAAATCAAGCTGCCAGCTGATTGTGCTTATGGCTACATGGTTGGAGCTGTGAGTTGCTTTGATGTTTTCCTGATAAAATGATTTCTTAATGGCAGATATTGTCCAGCAAAGATCCCTGAGAGGGACTAACCTCTCCTGGTGACACCACTGATGTTCCAGTACTTTTACTTTGAGCCTTACATGATAGTAACGATCCTCTTGACTTTAAAAGACCCCATTATTCCACTGATGTACTCTTTCTGAAAGGCATCACCAGTGTTATATGCTTCTGTCTGTAGCTGCTATTAATGCCAAGGTGACTATTTTTTAATGTCTCCCTTTTACACCTTGTTTAGTGTACCATTTCCTCTTTCTGAGATAATTCTCTTTGTCATTTGTGCGGTTGTAATCTACTTGGTGTTTGATTTCTTCAAAATTTTTGCTCTGTGTTTGCTCTTGTATTGTTCTATAGTTGATTCCTTTAGTCTGAGTTTTTCACTGCATTTAAAGCTGTTTTTAGGAGGAGGTAGTTCTTTAAAAACACACACCAAAAAAAAAATAAATCTAGCAGTCAAAGGAGTAAGGCAGTTATGAAGATCAAGGAAGAGAGGAATCCCACAATGCCACACTTATAATTATGATCTGGCTTATGGACAGCTTTATGATGTTTTTAATGGGATTTTTTTTCATGATTATAGAGAAAACAGCAAGCAGCATATCACAGTTGTAATTTTTTTCTCCCGCAGAGAATACAAAGGCGGCTCAGATGGTTTCAGCTTCTCTAGACAAGGAAATGTCAAAGTTTTCAGTGCAGGCAGAATCCTCATGAGGGATTTGTCTTAAGGAAGCATACTTGTACTCCTTTTTCTTTCTCCATGCATATATTTACAGACTGTTTTCCTTCCAGCTCAAGAGCTGAAAACACATCTGCCCATACATAAGAATTGCTGCAATCCTTTTATCCTCTCCCTCTCTTTTGTTGATGCTTAATGAATGTACTTATACTAACATTTCATTAACCCTCTCTTAATTTGGGGGCATTTAGGCATTAATGAATCTCTTAAATGAGATTGATCCCAATGCACATACGTCTGGTTATGTATAGCAAAATAACCTTTATTATCTTCCTTTGATTAGTTCCTATAATCTGTAAAGTCTTACTCTAATCTCTATATTTTTCATTTTTATTACTGATGTCTGGATAGGTTAAAGTCTTTGTGTTTCCTTTGTATCAAAAAGAAGAAAACTGCTTATCAAATGCAGAAGAAAATTTCTGTGTTGCGTTCAATTCACTTTCTATTTAACCACTATAAGCCCTCTTCATTATTGAGATTACACTGGAAGCTTTGTAGTTGTAAGATTACTGTTGATTTTCTTTTTACCTGTATTTAAGATTGCTTGTTCTCTCATATCATACGATACCTTTTCAAAAATAGATAAAATAATTACAAAGTACATAAAAACTAATATGTTTCAGTATAGTCAGATTAAGCACTGAATGTTTTTAGCAGGTCCAGTAGAAAACTAGAACTTAAGCATCAGCTTCCATGCCAGTGGTTACTAGTGGTAGCTTAGAGTAGCACCCAACAGTGGTCCATCAGCTGTAGTTGAAAATGTGCTGTTTCAGGCCAGTGTGCTGTTAATACAGGAGCTGGCATGTCAGGTTTTGATGACCTGCCTTAAGAACATCACAACTGCAACAGTGGAACAGTGATCATCTTATGTCCTATATCTGACACTGGCCATACTAGATGTTTTACAAGTTGTGGTTACTGGGAAAATAAATACATGAGACAGGCTTGTTCCTGTCCCAAATCAATTGAAAACTTGACTGATACTTTGTGTTTATTTACCATGTAGTGCTTTTCACCATAGCACATCAGGTTTAGCTAAGTCTCTCTACCTACTTCACAGGCCCTCTAGTGAGGCTTCAGACTGTTGGATGTTTAGTAACCAGAGCAGTACTCTTGTATCCCTTGGTCTTGCACACAAAGCGTTGCACGCCAAATGGACTTTGTTGTCTGTGTTCTCCACAGCTTTATACTGTGATTGTTTTATAAATTATAAAAGGCTAGTTTTACTATCTAGGGCTATGCATTTTAAAAGCTGCAAACAGAGTGAGCCTTTCAGTCTGAAGCCACGTGTAGCCTAGCAATAATTTATGTCAGGTTTTTTTCAGAAACATAACTGAGGATATATAATGATAAGAATATTGTGCTATTACCAGTTGAGTATGTTGTCTAAAAGGTTTTATCATCTAGGAAAATATTTGGCCCATAATTTTTATTTTTTTTTTTACCCCCAATACAACTTCATTATAGTTTTTTTGTCCCACATTGGTTTTTTGCTTTTCTGTTGGGACTGTTACATTTAGTGTTAGGTGAAAGGTATTCTTTAGGCTTTGGTAAAAATGTTGTTAAGAAGGTACATCAGGCTCAGAATTCTCAGGCTGGGGTTTTGGTTTTAATTTAGTTCACCATTCCAAAAGCAGCTGTTTGAGAGGGAAGAACTCAAAGCTGCACAGGCTTTCCCACAAGGGCTTGAGAAAGCAGCTTGGAAAATCATACAACAGACAAATAAATATTTTAATTCAGGGATATTTCCTCAAACCAAAACTGGATAGAGGCACAGGAGTGAGTCCTGACATTCAGATTCATGCTTCTTTGTACACCTGAGTTCTGAAGAGTTTCAAATTTGAAATACCAGTTTTGGTCTAAGCTAGTGAGACCGTAACAAAATTCAGGAAGCAAACCACAGAGTATGTTTTAAACATGCTCTCCAAGTGGCTAAATTTTAATTCTCTAGACAGGTTTTCATTTTGTAAAGTTCAGTTTTCAGAGCAGGAGGAACTATTAGAGACTTGCATGTGTATTTTGATACTGGAGTATCATTTTGAACTTAACCAGGTACTCAGGAAGGACCAAGGACTTTGGAAGGACCTGCCCAATTTATGACTCTGCTCTGATGTTTGCGGCTTTTGTTTCCTTTATAAAACCATCAAGAAAATGGGAGCCCACTCTTGTTTTCTAATATCACAAGCCAGAATTAATCAGCCTTTTATGCAAGCACTTCATGTCCTTTGTGTTTAGTTACTGCAAAAATCTTTCTCTTGTGCTAGACTGAACTGACCTTGTTGTGACACCAGTGGTGCCCTTTTATGTCCCATTTGATAGTTAGAAATTGAATTTGATATGCATTAGGCTCTGAAAATAGATCTATAAGTTTAATGACAAACCATGCAAAGAAAAATATTTGATTTCTATACTTGGGAGTTCAGTTGCCCAGTTCTAGCCAGTAGCATGCAGTGAAAATTGGATTTCCACTGCTGCGTGATTTAAAATTATATTAACCAATAAAAGACTGCTGACAAAAGCAGTGTTGCCAGTAAATACTACCTTATGGTTCTGTTTTCCCAGTTTACAGCCTGCCTTCACTCAGATTTTAAAAAAGCTGTACTTGAAAGTGAGTGATCTGCAAATCAGCATTAAAACCATTTCCTGATATTTTAAGAAATAAATGCTCTGTGCAGAATGATCTGTGCAGAAGATCTGACTCTTTGTCCACCCTTCAGCACGTAAGAATCACATCTCACTGGGACACTCAAGTCAGCATAGTTGCTGTCTACTTCTTTCACAAGTGAGAGAAAGCTTGAGAGTTGAACCCTATTTTCTGTTACAGTATTTCCATATCCATATTAAAGCTGCACTGAATTTACAGTGTGATAACTTCATTTGTTGAATCCTCAGATTCTTACTCAATGCTTGGTGTCAGTTTAGGAAGGAACAAAATGTACGTGATATCTATTTTCAGCACTGTTCAGGAAAATTTAGTTTCATGGTCTTCAGTGGGTTTTAAACAGAGGCTTAAATACTGTCCTGGACAAAGGCAAATTCTTAATTAAAGCCTGAACATACAACCCTGAACTTAAAACCCTAACATTTTATTGGTGTTTGTGCTAAGCATTTCTGTTGTGATGGACCTCACCAGACATCAGACAATAGTCCTGCAATGACTGAAGAGTAAAATGTTGCTGTGTGGTGTTTAATTAAAAAATAATTTAAATTAAGAATTAACTTGTTAATGCACATTTTCCAGTGCCTTATTTCACAGGAAGGAGGTGCTTTAACAGGGCAGGATATGTCACCTGTCTACTCCTCTCTCTTGTTAGTCATGTAATTTTGACCAATTTTTCTGAATGTAATTATTGGTGAAGGGAGGCAGCCCAGAGTGGCTGCTTTCTTCTGCACTCTGCTTCTCAGAGCCATTTGGAAAAGCCGGGCTCCAGAAAACCAGTATTCTCAGAGCACAGTTCATACCATCCCAGGCATGAAAAGATGAAACTCCTTCTAGAGAGGGCCTGGTTTTTGTGTGTGCTGTCTCTATCTCTTGCTCTTTCTCTCATCTACTGGGAGTAAAGATAAGTTACTTAGCTAATTAAATACGAGAGAGAAAACTACTTCAGAGTAAGCATCTCTCTAGTGAGCTAATCCAGAATACTTGTGTTGCTTGCAGTCTGCGCTCTCATGTGTTTTGCAGAAATGGCCCTGTATAGACTGATTTTTGCAATGAGCTGTATGTGTCTCTGCAAGTAGGTTGCACAGTATGTTTCAATAGTTTCTGCTCAACATGTGCAGGGTTGCACTCATTTTTCTGCATCACCATAAGGAGCAGTAAAAAATCAGCACAAGCTGAGTAGAAATCAGTGGCAAATCAGAAGAGCAGTCTTTGTAAATGCCTGCAGGACTTTGGTGGGTGAAGTTCACTTGCGCTCTGAACAAAGTTGTCCAGTGCCCTTGTCCTCTTCCCATGTGTCACTCTGCAGTAAAGCTGAGTGGCTTGGTTCAGTCCCTCTTGCTACACGCACTGTAGTGACATACTATGGTCTACATGGTATACTGCAGAAGACCACCTTCCTTTTCTCAGTTTTCTGAATTCACCAAAAAAATGAAAAATGTCTACGGTAAGAAAAGTTCTCTCTCTTGAACGTAGAGTAGGTGCCATAGAAAGCTCTAAACTCAGATGGTTCATTTTCACTAGCTATTATTTTTGACATTTTGTATTTTCTAGTATTTTGTATTTTCTATTTTTGACATTTTGTATTTTCTCCTCTCCAGTGCCACTGGTAACATTACCTCTTAATCAGTAATTAGTAACTCTTTTAACATTTTATAGTTAAGGAATCAGTCAGTGTACCTTTAATAAGACTTCTCAAGTTGAAAGGGAAGAAGGGAGAGGAGTCAATATCTCTGTAATATAAAACAATTTGTGCACTGAGAGGATGACCTTTGTTGCAGGTGTGGAGGACAGTAGGCACATGGTGCAGGATATTTCCTGCTGTCCTGACATCACACAGCTGTGCATTGGACTTTTTCTTCTTAAGGCAAAACTTGCAGGAATCAGTAGGAAATCAGCTTCACTGTCTTTAGCTAAACCATTTTTTTCTCCCTCTTTGCTTTTATCCCTGTGTTTGATGCTTTAACATTCTCTGTACTTGAATGAAGCCAGGAAGAATCCAACTGTGTATTTTAAAGACCCACATTTTCCATACTTTTTTGTATGAAATAACAACATTGATTTGTTTTGCCAATTATTCATTTTTCTACACAGTGCACAGAGTTGTTTGTTAAAAGCTGTGCCACTTGTTTTTTATTTTCTAGCGGTGTCTCTAATCCCACATCATGGGTTTTACTTTATTGGAATCATACATAGCACCACTTGCCACCCGCTTTTAAAAACCTTGTCTAATTCTTTTCAAAACAAACAGATTTAAATGTTTTTCCTTTGATTCTTAGACGCTGTCGGGGTTGCCAGATCAAGACTCTTTCTACGACGTGGTGGACTGTCTGGAAGAGCTAGGCATTGAAGCTATTTCACAGAGACACTTGAACAAGAAAGGAACAGACTTGGACTTAGTTGAGCAATTTAACATTTATGAGGTAACATAACATGCCCTGTTTTATGCATCTTACAGCTTGTGCAGACTTCAAAGCTGAGAGGAGGGGTGAAACGTAACCTAGGTGAAATTTGGTTATCTATTTTATTTTAAAAGAAAAACATCTGGTTGCTAGAAGTATTATACACATTCATATATGTGGTCTGCTATGGTACATAGCTGTGTTTAATGCAAATGCATTTCATACTAAAGCTGCAGCATACTCCAAGGCAAACCAGCACATTTACTAGCCGCCTTAGAGTCAGTTCTGCCTGCAGTTAAAACTTTCTCAGACTGCTGGTTACACATCCTGAAGTAAGTAGAAGTTCTTTCCACATGCAAAAGTATTCAGCTCGTGGAAAAGGTTCGGCTGAGCTCAGCTTCACAAATACCACTTGTTCTGCAGCTGAACACCCAGCAAGTCCCTGTTTACGAGTTTACACTGGACCAGATCCTACACAGTTTGCAGCAATGGAGTAGTGAGTGACTCCACGTTCACCACCTAGGTATAAAATAACTACTTCTGAAGTATTTATATGTAAGGGTAAAATATCCAGTTTCTTACTAATTAGCCTTCTTTCAGACTGTGGGAAGTGCTGGAGCGAGGTGGTTTAAGCTGAAGTTAATGTAATATAAATGTGAATTCATGTGCTGGTGTGATGAAGTTAAATGCCTTTATCTCTAAGTCCAGTGAAGGTTTTGGTAGATTTGATTCTCCATTTTCTTCATCAACTCTACACCCATGCCACTTCACTAACTTTAACAGAATTAAGTTACAACAGTTTGCAGAACGAGTCAGGCCAAAATAGGAACATGTGAATGAGAGGGCTCCATGTTCTTTCTTTTCCTACTATCAGAGGCAGCAGCTCATAAAATCCTTTTTAAAAGATGACCATTAGTCATAAAAGCAGGGGGGTTTGTGCATCCTGTGACTACTGAAAGACTCAACTGCAAAATTAGCAGTTGGTTTAGTTAGGTACCAGCTTTCTCTTGATGATTAGGCTAAATTTAGACATGCCCATGCACATTCTTTCGTTTTTCTGCCAATGTTGTTCTTTATCTGAAAAATCCCTTCTTCCCCACTGAAATATATTACCCACATCACCCTCTTATGTACCTCTGCCTATTTGAATGGATCTTTCTTGTATAACAATTACTTATATGTTATGCTGCATTTCAGATGAGATCCAGCAGTAACTTTGTGGTTTCTGCCAGTGATATCGCTCCTCACATACCCTAAGGTAGCACTTGCTTTGTTTCTGTTAGAGGTATGTCATACTGGTATGTCATTGGCATGCTGTAGTTCAAGACACTAGGTGTTGCACCCTGTGATAGTTTTAAGCCCTGCCGGGACCGGAGACCACGTTGCCGTTGTCCCTCCCCCACCCTCAGACACCAGTAGGGCACAAACCCCGGGTTAAAATAAGAAGAAATTTAATGCAACAGTGTAATAAACAATCTGAACAACAGTAGCAATGATAACAACAGTAAACAGTAATAACAGTGAACATGACAAAATATATACAGAGAAATACTGCAGTGGTTACGGACAGCTCGCTCGCAATGCTCCCCACCACCAAAACCACAAAGGAAGGCTTCCTACGCTGCCACGCCGAACCTGACATCAGCTTGGTATGAATAACCCGGCTGGAGATCCCTTCTCCCTCTCTGCTGGGGAAACTTAACCCTATCCTGGCTGAACCAGGATACACCCGTATTTTACTTCTCTACTATTTCCAGCTGATGAGCTCCCAACATGTGTCAGAAGTTTCTGTCAAACTGTGGCCATGATATTCTCAGCATCACTCGTTTCTGATATTATACATATGTTCCTCTGTATTGACAGTGCTTCTGAACTGGCAGGAAATACTGAATTTTCCCCTGAAAGGCATACATGGAAGTAATTATGCTAACCTAAAAATTGGGAGGCTTAGAGGAGAATATATATAATAAAAAAAACCATTGTTCTGTGTTTTTTTTCTTTTAATCCGTTCTGGTGCCAGTTCACAGAAATAGTTCTATTTGTTATTTTTTTCCCCTTTGTTTACTTTGCAGGGAGATCTGTCAAAATAGAGATTTTTCAAGAGGAATGCAGTTACATATATATATGCTTACCTTTTCCTTGGCTGGAAAGAAATGATGGCACTGTTCTAAAATACTCTCTAATAGGAGTTAATCATATTGATATTAGTTAATTTTTAAAGCCTAGGTGTGAAGACCTGTGGTACCTAAAGGAACCATGTCAGCAGCCTCACTCTTCTTTTCTTTTGCAGGTGACACTGAAACATGAGGATGGAGATGAGAGTGCTGACCCCCCTCCCAGCGGGCGCAAGGACCGGAGAAGGGCCAGTCTTGGTGCTAGTGAGCGAAGGGGGTTAGAGCGCCGACGGAGCCGCAGGCACTCGGTACAGAATGTCAAAAGCACTTTATCAGCCCCTGCAAGTCCATGCAGTCAGTCAAATCCTAGCTTCGTGCTAGGCCATGGACAGCGTGTTGAGGATCTCAGTGAAAGGTAAGTGCATGAGCTGGGGAATACTCCTTTCTTTTCCCCTATTACTTTCCATTATGTTCATTGCACTTTATTAATCTGACAGGCTTTTCTTTATCTCCCTCTTTCCATTGAATTAAATAGGAAGAAAAAAGCATATTTAAAGTTAAAACAAACAAACAAAAAAAACCCCAACAACAATGAAAAGAAATTGATTTGTAGGTGACTAATCTACACAGCTAAGTTCCCTGGCACCATCTACTCTAAGTAAATGGACCCAAACCACATGAGGTAGAGCATTTGATATGGGAACTAACCAAGTTTAATTTCATCCATTGACAGATTTTATATTCAATATACGCACATAATAGAAGATTGTAACAAGGGCATAGTTGCATTAATTTGTCCTGTATATGTTACAGTTAATTATTTTTTTATCCTTTGCAATCAGCATTCCAGCATAAATATTTTCCTTTGAGGCTACACTGTAATAGTGAATATATCTAATATTTTATCATTAGGTAGAGACAGTAATGACTAGCTGAGCAGTAGTCTGCAACACTGGAGTCAGCTGAAGCTAGTGGTATTGCCAGCACCATAAGGGTTGGCCTGGGCTGTGCATGCTTAGGAAAAAAGGGAGCTGTGGATCCTCAGCATGTCTGACTACTGGACAAGGAGACTGGAATTAATTTTGCCGGAGTTAGATGCCTGATCTGCTTGCCTCCCTTTGATGTCCGTGGAGTGCAGCAAGCACTGGTAGGCCTTCAGTTATCTAACGTATTCTACATGCCTGAAATTTCAACGAAGATGAGTCATGCTCTGAAACTGGCTGTTTCTCTCTGTTGACTATAAAGGGAATCTGAGTAGCTCAGGTAAAGATACATATGCTGCAGATAGCTATAGCTGGACACTGTCATCCCGTGGCTGAAAGTGCAATTTGCAAAATGGAAGTATGCTCCATGAAGAGCATATCTTGTGTGGATTATAAAATTTGGGAAGTTCTTTGGAGGTTTCTGTTGGTTAGCACTGGATGTGAATTTAGAGCCTTAAATTCCTACATTACATGTAAAGCAGCCCTTCTTGCAAAGCACACTGAGATGACTACAGTTTAATGGCTTCAGGCAACATGAAAATATAAGACTCCAGATAATTTAAACAGTAGTTGCATGTTATATACCACATAATAGATTTTTTTTTTTTCCTTTTTTTTTTCTTCTTTCATTTGGCAACACATTCATTCTTGTTTTCCATCACCTTCTGTTGGCTGGCTCTTTAGTGGGCTGGCTGCTGAGAGCCCCCTGGTCTTACAGGCTGATGACAAGGATGCCAGTGCATTTGAATCTGAGTTTAAAGCATCTTCAGTGTGAGTACAGATGGGTGTTTCAGCCACTCTGCATGGGATGCCTCATGCATGACCTTGGGCCCTGCTTCATGTCTTATGAATGTGACTGGGAATCTGTATCCATGAATGTGGAGCAGGTACCATTGACTTTTGAAACTGATGAATTTGGATTGGAAATGAGGAGATGCTTCAACTCTACAGAAACTGCTGATTCTCTTACTGTAAAAAACAAATACAAGTCATGAAGGAAAGCAACCTCTACCAATACATTTTCTTGCCGTGAATGTTTGCTTACTAGCTTTGTTTTGCAGCCTTTGGTAACTCCTAACGAATTTGTGTTTGAGCTGATATTTAGTATTGGGGAGTAGAAACATGGCAGATTAGTTTCGCAAATTCTTTGAAATATTTTTTCACCAACATAGAAAAAATTCAATAATTATCCTACTTTTTTGAAAAAAAATTATCCAGTTCTGGTCCACACCCTCTTCGACAGTAACATAATTTAAAGCATAATTCAAGTGTAAATCCAGAAAAGAAGTCTTCATATAAGCAGTCAGATTTAATTTCATTTTGCAGTGGTCCTTGGAATCTTCTCTAGGAAAATAGCTTCTCTTTAACTCCGTTTGGAATTTCTAATTTACCTGGCTCTGTAAGGAAAGAGAGCATTCAATTATGAATGTATGTAACACTGATCTTTACTTCACGTATTAGCTAAATAAAAATCCCTTTAATTTCTCTTAGCAGGTAAAGACAGGGAGTATTACTTGTAGCTAGCAAATCGAGTTTTTTCCCCATTGGACATTGCAGACCACAGAATATGTTTTGGTACCCAAAGATGCAAGTTCCAAGCTCAGCGGAATTTTTAAAGTTGCATAACAAGAAACTATTCAACTGTTGACTCTTCTATAAATCCCTCTGGGTTTCTGGTAAACAAGCATTTCAGAAAAGCAGATTCTGTTCTTCACATTTTTAGTCTCATCATCTGTCCAAATCTGTAGTTGTGGTAGGAAGAGCAAAACCAGCCTTTCTGCTTTATCATATCTCAGTGAGTCTCACAACTTTCAGTGAAATAGACCAGATGAATGCAACAGTATCTCTACACCTGATAACTAAACTGGGACCAAAAAATACAGTAAAAGCTTCATAGCTTCCAGTCATTAACATTAAACAGAAAAATAGTGAAGTTGAATGACTCGTACAAAGTTTTTACACATTATAAAGTTTGAATTAACCTGAAGTGGAAAGAGGTTTTTCTCTCTGCATTGTTTCTACAGGAATCAAGTTTTCAAATTTGAGCACATGGCATATTTATTGGTTTAAGGGATTTTAATAAAGCATCATAAGTTTAGGCCTTGCTGCAATTTGTAATGAAATTTTAAAATCATGTATTAAAATATGATGCAGGTATCACCTGTTTTTGTCAAAGGAAATGCTTGTTGTGTCCCTTCTGCTTCCATCATTGATGTTGTAGAGAGGAATCTGTACAAATGGATAAAAATTACTTATTATATCTCTAAACTGAAATTAACTTTTGTTCAACCATCTGTCTTCTGCAAATGACCTTCTTTTGGTTCATTTTTTTGTAGTGCTGTATTTTCTGAAAAATAGTCTGCAAAATAGTTTTCAGTCTCTTTATTCCTTCACTGCATTTTCTTTACAAATAGGAAACATGTAACAATATTAATGTTAATCTTACTGTGTTGCTTCTGCCGGTATCTAAACTTTGTGTGTGGTTGCAGATGTCTATGTCTGGTTTTACAATGGATTAGCACCATCGAGTTCAGTGGATTTGCTTCTGATGGATATGGTTAGAGATTAAAAGCAAACTCTCACACTGTAATAAATTCTATTTTGGACAATATTCTTGGTTATTTTTGGACTTCACTACCAAAATCAGTAGAATGTTCAAGTTCTTCCTCAGTGTTCTCCTTCCCACAGTGTTCATGTTTCTTTTCTTTCTAACTCCATCAGCTGGTTTGGCAGTTACGTTGCTTTTGTTTACCACATCAAACAGGTTGTCCACAGTCATCTGCTTTGTGTCAACCGATAAGTCTTCCAAAAAGAGAAAAATCCATGGTGCCGGTAAAACAAAAAAAGACAATATTGGCCAAATTCTGTCTGTCTCACAATGGATATATCCAGAAGAGCTGTCTGAAGTCAATGGAGTTGCTCTGATTTACACCAGGCTAATTGAGAGCAGACTTTGGGTTTTGAGCTGGGAAAAGTTGACCGTAAATGCTAAGGGCAACCAAAAGGAAAACTTGCAGGCCTTTTTCATCCATTTGGCAACCTTCTTCCAAACTAAATGTATTGCTTTTTCACTTGTGGTTCAAAACAAATAAAGACCCAAATCTGCTTTGTGTTAAAATAGTTTTCATGGAGAGTGAAACCCAGCCTAATGTGCCTGTACTAAATAAATAAATAAAGAAGTTGATAACAACTACTAAGAAAGGCTGAAAGTTGTTTTAAGGGTATGTAGCTGCTGCAGTGTACTTTAAAATACCAGTCCTGACCACCAGCAAGTTTGCTTTGCTCAAAACTTTTTTTCTTTTACCATGATGACATAGAGCACCAAAAGGTCTGGGTGCAACTTCAGTCCTGTTAATATGACATTTCAAATGCCTTGCTGAGAGCACCTTCTAAGGTTTTCTGCCCTGGTCCAAATTGAGTGCTCTCAATCTGTGGTCTGGTATGCTGTTTCTTAAGTGGTAGACTTTTAAGCACATTATTCCATGTTTTGATTTTTATTCTTTTTAAAGTAAAGCTAGCTTTTTCCAACCACACAATGGATAGAGTTGTGGAAAAATGTAAGGAGTGGCATGGAACTTGCACTAGATTGATTGTTATTGTTTGCAGTGATTTTTGGCTATATAAGCATTAAAAAACAAATTGCTGTCTATGTTTCAATCTCATAGTGTATCTTTGATGCAGGTAGTTCAGAACTTCTCAGTGCTGTCTTGAGCACTTAGCAGGTGTTCTGCAGGAGCCTTCCACATACAAACCAGAAAGAAGTACTTCTCCCAGTTTTTCAAATTAATGTGTTTCACATTTTGCTGTGCATTTCCCTTTCTTGAGTACTTAACAGAGACCATCCCCGTCTTTCTGCCTGGGTGCTCCATCGGAGCTGTGTCAGCCAGACTTAGCAAACATACTCAAGGGAGCTTCTATGAGATTTACATTGACGCCTCTTGCCAGTGTTTGAGTGAACAACTCTGTCAAAGCTTTGTGGAATTAATTCCAATCAAAGACTGAGGTTTATAAAGTAGTGAATAGCTATGATTAGATATTCGCTTTACTAGACTCTCTGCTTTCTTCTTCGTGTTTTTCATAGTTTTGATTTGGTTTGTATCATCAAAAATCACAAAAGCATTGCTAAGATTGATCCTATAACACTATACAACTTCATCTAGAGATAATCAGACCTTGGTTAAGACTTTCTTGTCAGTATTCCTGAGTTTGAAACCAAAGCCGACTGCCATCTTAAGAACCCATCAAAGCAGAGCCTGCATCCTGAACAGTGACCGAAGCTGGATTTAACAAGCTATCTTTTTTAGACTGTGGAGCTAAACAGTTGTGAGAAAGACCAACTGTTCAGGTTGACCTGAGGCTTCCAGATTTTTCAATTTGAAGAAACTTGACCTTCAGGAGATTTGTGTTGATAAGGGAGAAACAGCAGAGGACC